GAGTCAAGTAGCCGACTCAACGAGTCGAATGGGGTTGTCCCGATGGTTTTGATCGTACAACAACTCGACGAGTTGACGGGTCAACTCGGGGAGTTGACCCAGACCTTTGAGTGATTCTGTGGATGGCGAGCAGACTCGTCGAGTCCCATAAGTTCACTCGATGAGTAGGGTCAACATGGACTGTTGATTCGAGTTTGACTTCTGTTGACTTAGAGTTTGGTCAACCATGTCTTCAGGAAACCATGGAGGGCTAAATTGGTCTTTTCCACTTCAAGAGAGAGAGAGAGAGAGAGAGAGATAACTTAGTAAAATGTGCAATTTAAAGAGTTTATTAGATATAATTATCTTATGTGATTAGATTGAGCGAGTTTTAGCCAACGCAACCTAAACAAGAACCGAAGATCTGGACAATAGTTATACAACGGTAAAAAGATAGATGAAAACGGACGTCGGATGAAAAAGTTATGGACTTTTGACGGAGTTTTCGTGTCCCGACCTACTAAAAATAAAAATAATAAAATTTAAATTCAAAATTAGCCGACGATGCCTAAACAAGACTTGTAGAGCGTAATCTCAGCTTCATGTTGATATAAGGAACGTCGAAAACGTAGTTCGTATGCGAAAGTTATGAATTTATGAAGTTCGGGGCGCGGAACCCCAAGACTGTTAGATACCACGACGTGAAATCAGTGGTCACGACGTGGCATGTCTTCTGACACCTCCTGGAGCCTGCCAGACCCAACTTACGATGATGCATGTAGTGACGATCAAGCCCACAGCGTGAAAGTACTTTTCATGTTGTGGAAAATGAGAAATTTTCCCTATAAATAGAAATTGAAGGTCTCGGTGTTAGTTTTTCTTTGAAATAACTTGTATTATTAGGAAATTGCTAAACCAGGTTAGCAACAGCTTTTGAAGACTTACGCTCAGGTGTTAGTTTAATCTTTTGGACATCATATTGTAATTGACTTTTGCAAATATCTAATACTAAAATCATGTAAACTTTTCAAATTATGTATATGATGGTTGTGTGTACTTTCTTTACTATTCATTTGTTATGATACTGTATATGACGTTCTCCGCCCCCGAACGTTTCCGCCGTTCTGGTTTCGGGGTGTCACATTATGTGTTTTATGTTTACCAGGCGGGGCCTGATGCTAGGCGAGGTCTGATGAGTATATTGTATGCTAGTTATTGTATGTGTTTTATGATTACCGGGTACGACCCGATGTTGGGCGGGGCCTGAAGGCTAGTCTGTATGCTATTTATCTCTGTGATTATGGCGTGTGTTATGTGTTTTTATGGTTACATGTTTATATGTTTATATGCTTATACCGGACAGGGCCCGAAGCCAGGCGGGGACTGATAACTGACAAATTTGTTTACTGAGTGGGGGTTGATGCCGAGCGGGCGGAGCCCATTATGTGATTTTATGTATAGTATGAGGTATCTTGGGGAACTCACTAAGCTTTGTGCTTACGGTTTTCAGTTATGTTTCAGGTACTTTGGTTTTCAAATGGAAGAGCTCGGGATGATTGCAGTGAACACCCCACATGTTTCCGCATTCTGTGATTTACTCTGATTCGATGATGTTTTGCTAAATCTTGATTACCTTGGTTTTATGGAAATTATATGTATTAACGATTTATTAATCTAAAAACGAAAATTTCATGTCATTATTTTTGGGACGTTACAAAATCTCCAAGGATTATAGTCTATCAATTACCATACTTAAGTTAGACAATACATGTGGTTGGTCCATAATAAAACTTAGGTGCGCAAACTAGGTCTAATGGTTGCACAACCTATGTATTATAAAACTTCGTTGGGTATTCGATCTAAAATCTTGATTTTTAAGTTTGTTCTTATATTAGGGAAAATATTCTTAATCATAGAGTTTGGTTTATACTCAAAATTCTATATCTTATATTTATCATGTATTATTATTTAATAATACTTAATTATTTGTATGTTTAAAGGATTAAACGTAAACAAAGTGATTTTCCTAAGGTATAACCGTAGACCCTAGGGGAAATATTAGTTCTCTATAACAAAGGCACTGATACCAATTTGTCACACTCTCAGCCGGCGTAGCAATGTAATGAATAGATCACAAACAAAGCATATAATAAGCAGTATACGAATAATAAAATATTACAATACTAAATACACGTGTCTTACATCATTACAAACTAGGTGGGGAACCCCCGCGTTGCGGGGGTCGGATGCGACAATTTTTTTTCGTTGTTTGTTCTTTGTAAATGTTATTTGATCAACTATTTGTTTATAGTTTGAGTATTGTTATTGGGCAGTAATATTGTTTCGTCATGGATAATTTTTTTGTTGTCGGATAAGCCATTTATCGAAATATATATTTCATGGGTTTATCCTTTGGTTGATGGGATGGAACTGGAGAGCCGGATTCCACGGATCAAATAAAATGCCTCCAAATCCTATAATTAGGTAGGATTCTAATTAATAAAAAGAAAGTAAGATGCGACAACTATATAGAACTTTTTATAATTTTGATCCCTATTAGAGACTTTGGTAACGGTTTTGGTCCCTGTACCATACTCAATTAATATTTTGCCCCTTATGTAATTTTTTTTAAAAAAATGTAATTACTTAATTGTCATTGCATTTGTTGGGTCCTTGTACCAAATGAGTTCCAACCTTAATACGTGGAGGATGATAAAAAAAATCAGCAACAGGAAAACTCGGTTAGCAACTTTGATTTGCTTACATGAACGATTTTTTAAGATGTGGCATCTGATGTCCACACAAGCATGTGCTATACTTATGGACACTTAAAAACAACAGTTTTTGACACTTTTACACACGTATGTGACCATTTCAGTCGCCATGTGAAATGCCAACTCATTGAAAAATGCCCAACTGAGAAAATCGAACATGGCAGCTGTTTTGTAGGTCAATAATGACAGAAATGAAGAGAAAAAGTGAATAAATATATTTTATGCAAATAAAAAACTCATAATGGCTCACCAAATGAGAACTGATTAAAAGAGCCCAATCGCTAGCATTCGGTGGTTGAACCCTGTCATGCACTTTCTGCAATCCATCCAACCACTTGGAAATGGAAATCATGGTCTTAGTAGATGTTTCTCAAAATATTGAATTATTTGAGGATCTGCCAATTGTTTGTATCGCTAATCAAATTAAGAATTACTTGAAGCTTCCACTCAGTCAATAAAAAAAATTTAAGCACTTTGTTATTACTGTAAAAATTATACAAACAAATTGCTATTATCGTTAAAAAATGTAATTACATTGCTATCCTCTCAACAAGCTGTAAAAAATGTAAGTACCTGAAAAACCGAAACCCAACTTAAAATGACTAATTTCTTTTATTTCCACGTGCAAAAATAAGATTATGTTAATGAAAGTATGTTGCTGTTATAGATAAATTCATGCAAAGATCCATGTCATACCTATGGTTAAAATAAACCAAAGCTTTCGATTCGCTATCAACCGGCAAGAATCCACAGGTAACAACCTTTTCACCCTTTGAATCATCAAATAAATCCTAAAAACTAAAAGCAAATTATTTTGTTCACACCGTCAAGTGGTAGCTTGTTAGGAGGGATAAGAAACATAAATTGACAAAGGGAACATGTCATTTTCTCGCTTTATCCTTACAGCATGTTCCTTTCCTGACCTTAATTATTTTGTCAGACACAGGTAAAGCCCCAATCACAGTGTCAGTTTTAAAAATAGTTGAATGATATTTATGGGTAGTTCAAAAAAAATGAAAGTTCATTGCTATATTTATTAGTTATTTAAAAAAAATGAATGTGTTTTACTCTAATCAGGTAGTTTTTCATATAAAAAAATCGAAAGTATAATGGTGTATTTGCATACATAGTTCATACCTCTCGCCTACAAAAAATAATAATAATAAGTTGGTTTTAAAAAAAAAAAAAAAAAAAAAAAAAAAAAACTTGTAAGGTAAAAATTGATAATTGATATTTGAGGGAAAAAAACCTTACAACATCGGCAACCATCCTTAAACGTCTTCTGATATCTAAAGAGTTGCCACTATTGTGTATAACATTAAAAAGGATGCCCCTCATTAGATAACAACCAAAGATATGCTCCCACTATCATACTATCCTTCCTTCAAATCTGAGTATAACATCCAGGGCACTGCAACGTATACGGTGGTGGGCAGTGGTGGTGAAAGCCTCTTCTGTTCCAACTACCAACCAATTGAAATTAGGGCAAATAGTATAGATTGAAGACAATAACGGTTCATTAATGTGACAGTAGAAAGTCATTATATTTTTGTTAGATTGAAACAACTCATAAATTATAACCTACTTGTAAAAAAATTATGATTCTGGATACCTTTCAGGTTATTATAGTGTGATAATATCCATTCGTCTTGGAACAAAAAGAATGTTTGAGTAATACGTAAAGATATACATATATGGGATTTTGATTCCTTCAAAAGACTTAAAAAGTTGTTTTTTTAATATTAATAAAATATATGATTGCAGTTCTAATTATTAATATCTAAAAAGCTGAAAGAAACTTAAAAGAAAAGTTATTATGTATTTCATAAAAATGATGAACAGTACCCTTAAAAGGACCCACTGCAGGGGCCACTCACTCAAAGTCTCAAACCACCTAAACAAAACAAAATGCATCTAGAAAGACCACAACAAAATGCACAGATTCAACACAAACCCTAACCAATAATTTTTTTTTCTTTTTTTTTTAAAAGAACACAAAAATTGGGTATTCCACTCACTCAAATTAAAAGTCCACCAATTTGGTGTTTACTGATTTATTCCACAAAAGGGTATTGAGAGTAAGGGAAAAAAGGTAAAATCTTTGACCTGCCAAGTTGGTGAAGAGGTTCATCTATGAATAAGACTTGTGGCCTCATTAGAAGCTTTCTTTCTATGCTGACATGTCTTTTTTCGCCACTTGGAAGGCCTTTCATGTAGCAATGTCCACCTATGAGTTTATTTGCATAGTCACCTAATGATATGGCAAGAATTGCATCGTCTACAACACTTTTCTTTTGATAAAAAAACCAGAAAGTTGAAGGAGTGCTGAGTAGTAAAGAAAATCGCGAACTGTTAATGATCCGATTAGTGTGTTTTTTCTCTCAACAAATCTCTTTCAATAACACAAGAAGTTTGTTAGAAAAATCAGGTCCCACAACATAAATATCTTGATTTTACAACTAAAATGTTGATTTGATTCCATCCCATCATACTAAAGAAATCTTGAAAACTTACATAGGATCCATATTGCAATTTTGGTTTTGCTCCAGTGATGAATACTTCACCATATGTTTTAGCTGAATCATCCAACCTTCCTAAAGGGGAATGAAAAATTGTTAAATTTCACAAATCTAAAATTGGAAATAAAAAAAATTGTTAAAGTTTGACTAAATACCTGTCATTGTTCCAGGTAAAGCATAGCCATTTGAGCTTTTTATAACTCGATCAGAGTATTTTTCGTTTTCCTTTTATAGTAACTGTTAAATCCTTCCACACCATAGTAGCACCTGCTATCTTTCTTGCGACAACTGCACCTTGTGGTAGTGGTGGTCTGGTGGAGATGGCATGGAGCCACTGTTGAGCTTTGAAAGAGATGGTGAGATGGGGGTGGTGGCAGTGTTAATGGAGTCACCACCATCGCCACTCTTTTCCACCCTAACTTCAACATCTGATTCTTCCCAATAAGGTGAATCTTCAAATGAAATCGGTTGTCTTAAAGCACCTAGTTTTCTTAAGTAGAAAAAGTTACTTGATGGTACTCTGCTAGCAGGACTGGTTGCTGAAGACGATGAAGATCTGTAGTTATCTGATTGAGACTGTATTTTTTCCATAGTAGCAAGGATGATAGAGAGAAATCTGAAAAGAAAACTATAGTTGGAGTTGAAGAATTCATACCTGTCACATGTAAGCAAGAAATACCAAGGGTCGGATTGGCAGCTCTCGATGAAGAGTTTGACTTCATTATCTTCGAATCTTCCATGACAGCCATCTGCCTCTCCACTAAAATTTGGGATTTTCTGAGGAACAGGGGAAAGACCCCTCATATAATGATATAGGCAAAGTACAGCCCGACCCGTGTATCTCTTGACCTAGATGTGATTTTGCAAACTAAACATGGAATAAAATCAGTGATATGGTCATGTTTTCATCTAAGAATTAGACCTTTGGTCAACTTCTTTTCATTACAAATCAGTGATATGGTCGTGTTTTCATCTAAGACGCACACTAAACAATAAGAAATCATCTTCATGTAGATTCACCCTGTAATACAGATCTTCCTCATCACTAAACCAAAAACGAAGAACAATGAAACATAAAACGATACAGAAAGTACATCATATAGAAATATGAACATTTTGTACAACGAATTTGTTTTGATTCTTTATAGATTTCAATATACAATACACAACCATTCTAATAGTCTGTTTGATTCATGTGATTGAAATAGATATGATCGTGTTTTCAAAAATTACCATTGGATTCACGAAGCGGCGACAGAAGGAGAATCAGGCATAGATGTTGAAATCAGAAGAGACCGACGTCGGCTCTTGTTCCTGCTGCTAGTCAGTGACGGTAATCGAAAACCAATTTTAATCGAAACTGCATTCTCCGGTGGTCATCATAGAGGAATCGAGACCCCACCAACAGCAAGACATGCGTCGCAGAGGAAACAATTGAAAGAAAAGGGAGAATTTGGAGAAGACGGCATACCTGGAGTGTCGACTATGATCCGCAACCCGAGGAAAACAACTGTAGATTAAAGCAAACA